TTTCACTAGGTGTGTAGGGAGTGTCTGCCTTTTTGTTTATTCGTTAACGTAGGGATTATTGTTTGTTTGGTCAGGGAGGTAGATTTAGGCATTGTTGTTTCGTTTCACCATTTTCTTTGTGTTCCCTTAGGTAGTTCAGCTTGGGTTACTCGGTAGATGTGCTTTTGTTTGTTTCTTTGGCCTTTGTCACTCCTGACGTTCGTTACACCTAGTGATAGTACTGTGTTTGTAAAAAACTATAAAAAAAAAGACTCCCTCTGTGTCCTGTGTTCCCTTCTCCTAGCCCTAGTTGTCCTGTCCTCCCCAATCCCTCCTTCCCTTTCACTTTGTTGCGGTCCAACCCTAGACTGGATCGTAACAAAACGATGTGTCCTACCCCAATCGTCCGCTCCTTCCGTGTGCCACGCCCCCTCGTTAACCCAGTGTGGAATCCCCTTGTGATCAGCTGTTTCTGGTTGTTGTCATAAGTCCTCTACATGTATTTCGTCCGCGTTTCAGTTTGTTTCCCCATTCCGGTCATTGTATTGTTCATTGTATTGTCCATTGTATTTGCCTGCCTTACCTGTAATGAAACCCCGTATTCCCGATACCCCGACGTCTGCGCCTTTGTCTCCGTTCCGTCCCGCTCAGCAGGACAGTATTATAATGAAATGTATTAATGGTTTATTATTAATATTAAAATAATAAGAAATTTTTATTTATAAATGTATTTTATTATAATTACTGTTACTGTCTCATTGTCTAAATGTAGTTTTACTGTCTAAATATATGTATTCAGCTATTGTAAACATGCACGATGCTATCACAGCGAATGCGTGGCTGAGACTGAAGCGTTACCCTTTGTTTCCGCTGAGAGACGTGCTGCGTGACTAATTTCCCCGCCCATACAAGTTATTAGGTCGGCGTTTACGGTTTGACTTCTGAGATTCAGATCGAGCTCTAGGTAATTTTTTTTCAAACTGGTTTGTTCGACTTTTAAGAAATTCTAGTTCTAATGAGTTTGAGAACTGAGGTACCACTGTATTTAAGGAATACAGCAGCAAATTACTGACTATTTGTAAGAAATCCATTTACAAAGATTCTTTCCAATACAGTTTCAGCAAAATTGATTTATTGAACAGCAATATAATTGGTGCAATACAGAGCAGACATATAATGACACATTCATCTATACAATGGGTATTGAAAGGCAGTCCAAATACTAAGTAAGGACAGTTCTTTACTCCTCTTTATACTCCAAAAAACCCTTCCTAACCAAGGATATTATCCTGATAACCAAGAAGAAAATTACAAGAAAAGTATTTTGTAACTGAAATAAGGTACAAATATAAACTACAACTAAATGAAAATTACAAACTAACTGATTTTGTTACTGTTTTTTAAACACTCTTAATCTAAAGTAAAGATTTGTTTATCTTTAATTACCATTAGTAATACATGGAACATGTTATGGCCAATTTTAAGATTCTCTAATGATTAGAAACATAAATGTTATAAACATTTCCAATGGCCAGCATATCCATTTTCTGTAACCCCTTTTCCTATTCAGGGTCACAGGGGGTCTGGAGCCTATGTGCACAAGGTAGGGAACAACCCAGGATGGGGCACCAACCCATCACAGGGCACACTCACACACCATCACAGGGCACACTCACACACCATCACAGGGCACACTCACACACCATCACAGAGCACACTCACACACCATTCATTCACAATTGCACACCTCCAGGCAAATTGGTAACTCCAGTTAACCTCAACATGTTTTTGGACTGGGGATGGTAAACCAGAGGTCCCAGAGGAAACCCCATGATGACATGAGGAAAACATGCAATCTCCACATACATGGAGCCATGGAGGAGACTCAAGCCCTGGTCCTTGAGGTGTGAGGTAATAGTGCTAACCACTTTGCCACCAAGCTGCTCCTAAACTGGATTTCAAATTTTGAAAAAAGAAGATCAAATAAAATTAGAAGCTAATGTAAAAAACCAAAACTATAACAATATTGTTCCCAACAAGCTAGGTAGGGGTGGTCAATTAATTTGCATATAAAGGGTGGCCTTCTGGAGTGTGTGGAGTCTAATAAAGAGATGAGGCAGGACAGGATGGAGACTTCCTGCTAGAGCAAATGGTAACTCAGTCATGTCTCTGGCTAATTACTTCCTTATCAACCTATCAATGCTAAATGCAACCTCCATTCTCTTCATGACTTTCCCATTTTTAGAATTTGTTGTCTGTTTTCAAATTACCAGCCGCTGTTACACTGAGGTATCCTAGCTCTTTTCCTAACAGCTAGCAGTCAAGTTATTAGTAAAGTACATTTTATATTGCATTATTTTACATTATCTACAGAAAATAATGCAATGTAACTCTGGATTGAACTGGATGTCATTTTAAAATATTAAAAATATTCTGAGTTCTTAAATTCTGCCCATATACATTCCAGCTCACCCAGCTTCTCCATAAACTGAGAAACCATCTCCCTGATATTAGCTACAAGCTTCATTGTGGCTGATTTTATTTTATCTCGCTGTTGTGACCCTTGTCTTATGCTGTGGATCTCTTTGGCATCCTTGGCAATAAAATAGACATCGAGGGCAATGAAGAGAGCAGACAGCACCCCTGTGAAGGCCTCTGCCACCCGTACAACTCTGGCTGCTTGAACAGCCACCCTACCAGCGTTAACCACCTGGGTCACACGGAAAAACTGTGCAATGCCACCCAGGCCCCTCCCTGCTATAAATGCAGCCTGTGCCATATTAGCAACATTTGCGTAGCTCTCATGCTCCTTTATGTTTTCAATGCCAGTTCTGATGCCTTCCACACTCATGAGAATGGGTTCCATCCTTTCCCGGTATTCAGTAATGGTTTCCTCAATAGTCTTACGTTCCGTTGACTGGTTCACCATGTTGGTGATGTTGGAAACGGCACTGGTTGCCCCTCCAGCTACAGCAACACCAATCCCCACACCAGTGACAATCAGAGAGGCTCCCAGAGTGAAAGGTGCCAGAATGAGCCCAACTATGGAAGTGACCCCCCCTGCAGCTCCTACCACCGACCCTGTCAGGCTCCCTACGGTGGTACCGAAGTGGACGCGTTCCAGACCATCTGCCGTCATCTCCAGCTTCTTCACTAGATTCTGGATATCACCAACATCTCGGTCATAAAGCTTTTTAAAAGTTTCAAAATCCTGGTTGAACTGACACATCATATTTTTCAGATCCCTGGTAAAATTAAGGGTTTCAATATGAATGCAGGGTTTTTAAAATTCATTTAGGCAATTATATAGTATGAAATTGTAGGCCAGCGTATGTAAAACAGTGAGTTTGATCTGAAATTACAAGCTACTGTACATCCCATTTCACAAAGGGGGGCGTTGCATCCATGTGCATCCTATAACAACTAAACCCCTAAAAGTAACTCATTATCATGGTTATGTGTTTACCTGTCCATGGGGATTTTGTTGTTGCCCATCCATCCATCTTCCGAACACTTTTCCATTTTAGAGTCACAGGGCAGTCTCTCATTATTCCAGTCACAAATACCTGAGGAAGAAGTAACATCTATGACTAATGACTTATAAGCTGTAAATATAATTTTGCTAATACTGATATACTAATGGAAAAAATACTTCTTAATTTCAGAATAGGCTCAATAAGATGCACAAAATCCAGTTTACCAGGTTCTTCCAGTGGAAAAGTCGCAGGAACCACCAAGGCTTCTTCCTTCAAAACCCAAAACATGACACAAATATTTGTATAATATCCTCTGCAAATACTGCTTCTTATAATATTTAAGTTACTCAGGAAACATTTTGAAACATTTAACAAATTATTAGTCTTTGCCTTACATTTACATCTAACATTTTATTTGCCTAAAAATAATTCTGCCTAAAACTAACACCAAAATCTGCACAACATGAAATATATTGTTATAAAACCTAATTTATTTTGCAGTTTTGAGAACTTCTGAGCAGAAAAGAAGCTATACAATTACAAAAAGTTAAATACTAGTAAAGCAATGCAATATCCCTACTTATAAAAAAGATAAAATCACTGTGCAGTTTTCATGATGAAGTATGTCAGACATTTATTAAATTACAGCCATCACTAGGTACATAAATTATAAGGATGAATTCACCATGAATGAGAACTGCCTGGGTATTCGTTTAGCTAAGAATTCTTTCTTTAGTATGCCGTCAATGGTGGGTCTGCGTGCCGGGTCCTTATGAAGGAGTTCCTCCACCAGATGGCGCAGCTCAACTGAGAAATTCTCAGAAATCTGAGGACAGGGCTTGCTCCATAACTCAAACAAGAAGAAATGTTCCTGTACTGAAAACTAAGAGGAAATGGAAGATTGTAGTTATGTAGTATGTTTTTCTGTAACATAACTGGCAACAAATACATAGTAAAAACTAAAAGTGCCTTGAATATCCAATACGATATTAATAATTTTTTTCTGTAAAGGACATGCATAAACTTTTTTTTCTTTTCAATATCTCAAGATGATCACAACTTATTTTCCCGTAAGAATTTAATTGATATTTTTTACAATATTTATTATTAATCTCAAACCTCATTATGGTGTTCTTTTTTTTTTATTTCAATGTATTACAAAAAAAATGTATAAATTATCCTGGATTTGGTGTTGTGATTTTTTGGTTTTATTGTTGTACAGAGGTGGGCACAGCTAACCAAAAAGTTTGCTTCGATAACCGCTAACTTTTCTTATATGAATTTATCTTTGGTTTGGCTTTTGGCTCTGAAACGATCAAAAACATACATAGAGACCTAAAATTTAACCTGCTTAACACTTAAGTCCCATGTGTCAGACTAGAATGATTTCTGGGGTATATTTAGGACTTCATGCTCAAAACAAGGAACAAGTATGCATGATTTTAGGGTTTACAGATGTTTTTGAATGTAAAACTTTATTCACTTTACCGACAATAAAAAGTTAGTGGATTTACAGTTAGTGGAACTACATTTAGTGGAAAATAATAGGTTAATTCACTGATGGTTTTCGAAATTAGCAAAAATGCTAATCTGCTAACGAACAAAAAGTTATCTTAGCTAATTAGAGGTTAGTGGATTAGCAGAACCCTGCCCACCACTGTAGTTGTAGCAGTAGTACTAGTAGTAGTATTAGTAGCAGTAGCAGGAGTAACAATAATGGGCCTCAAAGTTCCTTGAAGAACCCCAGGTGGCTCCCAAAAGGGTTCTGCCTGTGTGCAAAACTGAGGAACCCTAAAAGGAGCCTCAAAGTATCCTTTAATTTTTACAGTGTAGGTTGTACATGTATACGACATGCTAAATGAATTTTAGAAGCTGTCATATTTTGCATTGATACTAGGCTATTAGAAAACAATGATCTGTGATACTCACGGCAAACTCAAGTGTGCAGAGTTCATACAGCACACAACCCAAAGCCCAGATATCACTGATAAGAGAAATGTTAGTCAGTCAGTGAACAACTGCCACCAACAGATACAATTTTTATTTATCCACTGTACTCATATTGTAATACAGGCACTCCTCACTTAATGACCGAGTTATGTTCCTACGACCAGGTCGTTATATGTGATTTGGTCTGTAAGCCAGGAACTGCCCCTTACCGATATTTCAAGGATACCGTACTGGTAGTGGGTTTGTGTCAACCATCTTTAGATATTGTATTAATGTTACCATTGCACCATTTGTAACATTTTTAGTATATGAATGTTTATACAGTAATGTACTATATGCTGTAATAAACACGTACTGTACTGTCCTTGCTACGTGTTTTATTCATATGTGACAGGTGAAAAATCTATGACAAACTAGCTGTAATAAACAAAACACAGAAAAGACGTAGGAGATCTATCTAGCATAGCAAAGTTACCGAACTAAACAAACCATAGAAAATAAGTGACTTGTACGTATCAACTAATATATGAAGCAATTAAGTAAAAAAAAAAAATGTACAACTTTAACCTGCAAACAATATACATCCGAGACCAGAACAAACAGAATAGAATGGGAACCCCACGCTGCCGTTTCCACCACCAATGTTGTCTTACAACGTATAATATCAACTAGTCAGACAGCTGGTCGTAAGTCCGTTATACAGGTGGGTCGTTAACTGAGGAGTGTCTGTATTTGGCTGAACACAACTAATTAGGCTACTAATGAAACTGTGCATTAGTAGTAATGGAAACATTAAAATCAGATACAATGTTTTCATTTTGCATGGAAAATTACACACTACACTTGAAAATGTAAACATTTCAACATAATTGATAATTGCTAATGTCTTTTGAACAAAATATTATAAATAGATCATGACCATAAGTACACAAGACTAGAAAATTTGTTCGAACTTTGTCAGTTTCACCAGCATGTTTAACTGGAAAGTAGTACTGTTAGACAGCGAGGGGGAAAATATAAAAATACATAAGAGCTAAAGTCCGTGTTGGTCAAACTTGATACTGATTGCGAACTGTACATTTATGCAGATTTACGTTACAGCTAAGCCTGGTAAACTAGGAATTTACTTACTGTAGCTGAACAGGTCAAAACACCATCTGAGTTCAATGACTGAGGACACGCTACAATTTTTCAGGTGTATTAACTTAAAGTATATTTATTCAAGTCAGTTTATAGGCTATTTATTATTCTGAAGTTTTTCTGTCCATTTTTGAAGGAATCGAAACATCTAACAGATAATATACTGTAATGAAAATCAGGATATCCTTTGCCATGGATACCCTGACCGTACAGTATATAACAATTGATACCACTGAAACAGATATCTTGGTTGGCTAGATGAACACCATGAACACCTCAAATTTCCAAATCTCTCCTCAGAACACCCCAGCAATTCCATGAATGTGTTAAATTTCACTACCAGCCCAATTAATTAATTTCACTAAACTCAGTGAGATATTGATTAGCCAAATAGACACATGGGTGTATTGGATAGTTATTGCAAATACTGGGGTGAGTTTAGGAGGCATTTTGAAATGGTGAAGCTAACACACTTTGACAGACATAAAATCATAATTCAACACCAACATGAAGATCACTTAAACACAAATCTCCTTGGCTGCCCAAGACTTTTACTGTAGATGTATTGTTTATAATAAGCTAATCAGGCCTAATAAGTCCAAATTTAAAGGTATATTGAAAACACCATCTAGTAAATGTCATGTCAGATACAATACCTTTTTGCATTAAATATTTCATCTTTCCACAGATCGGGGGAGGTATAAATAGGTGTTTCTGGCTTGTTTTTTGCATATTCATCTTTCCTGGAATAAAAATAACAGCAAATCATTATAATGACACAATTCACACAGTAGTCTGAATGATTAGTTTCAGGTCAGCACCCGTCTGTCTCCTCCCCGTTTGCCCAGCTAGTTCCCGAGTTCTGTGGTTTTGCATTTTTTTTTGGTTTTTGCTTTGTGCCCTTGGTTGTGTTTTACCTGTCTTTGTCATTCCCCTATAGTGTTGGATTCTGTCTCCTAGTTCCCTGAGTTCCATGATTTAGTTTATTAGATTCACCTGTGTGCTGTTTCCCTGAGCCTCTTGATTGTTCTCACCTGTCCTGTGCTTCCTTGTTAACCCTCTGTATTTAAGTACTTGATATTACTCTGTTCCCTGTGGAATCATTTCTTGATTATGTTTCTTGTTGTTGATTTTTCCTGGTTGCCGTGTGCTATGTTTGTGTCCCTGCTTGTTTTCTGTATGACCAGTTTCCCCTTGTAGACCATTTTTTGTTGCGTTAGTTATATTGTTCCCCTGTTTAGTTTTGACCCTTTGTGGTCTGTTTTGTTTGTAGTGTTCCCAGTGTTTTCAGTTCTGTAATAAACCCCCTGTTGTCTTGCAGAGCCACAGGTGGATCGTCATCTTCCTTTCCTGCCTGCCTGACAATGAGTGCTGCTGTTGTATCCAAACTATGAACCAAATATTTATAATTACCCTCAATTGTCAATCAAATATTTTAAATCATCCTTTCAGAACATTTCCAGACTAGTGACATGTAAATGGAATAACATGTAGAGTGTACCCAGGGATAATCTGCAGGGTCACAGAGGCCTAGCACTGAATAAATAGTTATTCCAAATGGTCAGATGAATGGCAATTTCATTGTTAGGCAGATGAAATGTTTTACATGCGTGCAGTTATGTAAAATTGTTCTAATTATTTGGGTCAGTCCCCAGCAAACAAACCAAATCTGGTTGATGTTGCTCAAAATAGTGGTTTGAACTAAACTCATAGTGCAATTAAAAGAATCTGTGTATCGTCTTGTCTAATTCTATACTTTCTTTGTGAGGAAATGTGACTCCCACCAATTGCAAACCAAGAGCAGATGGTCTGATATGTCTGAGAGCATCATATGTTGATTATTATTCTTCATGGCTCCAAGAGAAAGATACCAATTTGTGTTGCTACCAAGGTGTCCTGGTCACAGAAGCCATTTGGGTAGCAGAAGTCAGGCTCACATAAGGATGCTATTGCTGCCCAGGCCACTCTGGACCCTGAATGTATGTATTATGACATGCTGACATAATATTTAACACATGATGTATGAATACATCACCTGTTTAGGATTTTAGAAACTCCAAAGTCTCCCAGCTTGATGGTTTCTTTTGTGGTGAAAAAGATGTTCTGGTATATAGATAAACAGCAAAGATCAATAATATAGTGGTTATTGGGGTTTTACTTTGCTTACAAAATGCACAGGGATCTTACACCATCTGAATGGTAAAACAAGCATGTGGTCTCTACCTGTGGCTTTATGTTTCTGTGAACAATTTTCCTGTCATGAACGTGTTTCAGGGCCAGGCAGATCTGTACAAACCAGTCCAGAATCTGGAAAACAGAAAGTATCATATATGACAAGTGATATAGAATGTGCAAATATTTTCCTAAGTGTCTGTATAAAAGCCATTTCTTATCATTTTTACTGTATGTAGGTAAGTAAGTGAACTTTATTGTCATTCACACCATACAACAGTACAAGAACGGATGCATAGCTGAACTAAATTGCGTATCTCCAGGCTCAATGTGCAGACATAAAGAGACAAGTGCACTTAGACAACATACGGATATTACAAACAAGATTTCACTACTTACACAGAAGTAAGTAAGACTGTGTAAGACAGCATAAGGCAGCACAGAACAGACACTAAATATACAAAACAATATACATATACTGTAAAGAAATGTAGAACCAGTCAGTGGTGAATATGATGAAAAGAAAAATATTGCACATCGTTTCACAGTGATTGTATTATTGCACTATATGTCTAAAATATGTCTAAAACCCTTTCTATTCTGTATTTATTCATGCCTGTACTTTAGGAGTTCAGTTTGTTTCATAGTCCTGCTACTTGTGTAGCTCGGTGTTATTGTTTTATGGTTTCTTTGGTTGGTTCTTTTTTTCCCCCATTAGCTTTCGTCCCCTTGTGGTCCCTGTAATCTGTGCCTTTCCCCAGTGTGTTCTGTTTAATTTCATAAACCCTTGTTCGTCTTGGAACCACAAGTGGATCATCGCCTTTATCCCACTTGTGCCATGTCAGTAAAATGTCTAGGCTTTTACACACTTTGCCTGCTACATCACTTGAAATCTATAGGTTACCTTTTCTTCTAAGAACGGAGTGTCTTTACTTTTTTGCTCTTTAATTTTTTCAGTGAGATCTCCACCTTCACAGTAATCCATCACTATGTAGCAGTTGTTCACTGTGTAGAAAATAAACCTGTTATTCCTAATTCAAGAAATGGGTCATGTAATATCGAAGCACATTAGAACAAAATGTTTACATACTATGGCAAAAAATCTTTAAAACATCATTTTTAAAAATTATTGATAATGCTTTAATATAGTAATGAAATATATTAGAAAATCAGGTATTCTAATGTGTTCAAAAAACTGGTCACTCCACAAGTAATCAAGCACAGCAGCTGTACCGTCAGTAAAGGACTCCACATGATGGACAATGTGACGATGGTCTATGTCTGTCAGACTGGCCACTTCACTCTGTGTTCTCTGCTTGATTTCATTGTCCATCTAAATCAAGCAGTAAATTGAACTAGAGAACTTATTGCACATTTAGCACATTTTAGCACATTCACTTAGAAATGTTTTTAGGAAGTACCACAGACTTACGTTTGTTGTTTTAATAGTCTTGATGATGTATTTCCTCCCATTTTTATTCACCAGAGCTGCTGTCTCAGTATCTTTGGTTACAACTTCTTTCAGAAACGTGTAGCCACGCTCTTTCAGAAGACTTTGTTGACTACCCATATCTGCATAAAAGAAGTGAAATTTCTTTTTATTGTAGATGTTTGTTTTTTTTGGAGAATTTGATGTTAATGAGCATGGTTATATCTGACTTTTGTATTTCATAAATCTGAAAATTCAATTTTCATTTATTCATTTAAAGATATACATTCCTATCAAATTATCAAAATGTTTGAAAACAGGAAAATACAATACGTACCCAAGTTCAGTTAATAACAACTATTGCCAAGATTTTATTCACTTTTCTTTTTGCAGTTCCTGGAAAACAAAGCTGTCAATGTCATTCACATGTGTGATTTCAAGGAAGTGGTCTACGTTACACAGATATGCTTATATATAAGTATTGGGTCATGTGATTTGAACATGTGAACAAACTAGGAAAACAGGATGCACAAAACATGTTAAACCTGGTGTGTCTGTGTGTGTGTATATATATATATATATATATATATATATATATATATATATATATATATATACACATATATATAAATAGAATTCACCCTTGAGAAATTGACCTTGGAAATGTCTATTCCCTAGTTGCCTTCCACAAAAAAAAAAAAAAATGGTTCATTCAGACAAACTACTGCTCATATAATATGCAAATCAAACCTTTCTGGTTGCAAAGTCTGGTGATAACTGTAAATAAAAAACCAAGAAGAGGAATCTTGAATAGTGTGATGTGGGGCATGACGTAATGTTATTTGTTGTGTATGTTGTGCAATTATAAAGTTAAATTATAAAGTTAAATATAGTAAGGTGTGTTTTTTGGAGACACACGGCCACTGCAGCAAATTTTGTCAGCTCTATAATATGACCTCAAAAAAGTGGACGAATCTGAAGACGGAGTGAATGACATCACTTGGCAATGTGACTGCAATTACTGGGAGCACAAAACCACATCGTCACCCTCAGCCTTCGACGTGTTTGGCAACTATAATGGGGGATGCTGTTGCCCTATTGTTTGCAGATCTCCTTGCTCAGACACACATACTAAACCTGGTAAGTAGCTGACTACCAGGTAAAAAGCAGATTAACATGTGTTTGAGCAGGGAAATCTGCAAACTGTGCTGGATTCTGGCCCTCCAGAACCGGAACCGGGGAACCCTGGTCTAAATGTTTGGATATAATCTAAGCTTTTGGCTCACTCAACTGGTTGAATTTTGAGACTTTGGAGGCAGGAACAGTGGCTGATTTTTCCACTTAGTTGCTTGGTCACTTTGAATCCTATGATTGGCTGTTTGCTTTGGAAGATGAAGCAGTTTCATGCTCTGTCATGATGTCGGAGCAAGGAAGTCTTACACAAAGTTACAGTGTATGAGGGGCAATGAAAAACACTGGAAAATTATCACCTATCTATGAATACTTTGCATATTACAACATGTTTAATCCTATGACTATTCTATTTACACAATCTGTATATATGCTCTATACTCCAAACACAATGATACATATACATGTTGCACACTTTGACAACATTACCTTGTCAATTTGCACTGCAAGTTTGATATCAACCCACTGGCCCAAAATATGACTATAGTATCAAGGGAGCGATGCTCTCAGGATTTAATCTAGTTCAGTAATGTTGTAGGATGAAAGATACCTTGTTGTTTGCACTGGAACTTCCTATACAGTGGCCCATTATGCAGTGACTTTTATATACTGTACATTAAGGCAGTTAGACAAACTAGTAACAGGTGTGACTTATTAGAAGAAAAGAACAAGGGGGCAGGAATGCAGGGTGTGACACTCATGTTGCTTTAGACACAAAGATTTTATTTTTTCAATTTTGTTGAATAAGCTGGAATGTGAGGTTGGTCTGTCTGGAACAAAGGCAACATGTAGATGCTATTTTTTAATGGTCAAAATATTGAAAGAGGCAGCCAAGGAATTTCTCTCATAGGAAAAAAAACTGTACTTCAATCATCGGCCCCTAAATAAAAAGACAAAAGAAGAATAGGCAGCTCCATTTGTTGTCTTTGTAGATGCACGTCCTGTTTGGCCCTGTCTCATTCATTGCACTCCAGTGTGAGCTTTCTTTGCAACACAGATATGCTTTTAAATAAGTAATGGGTCATGAGATTTGAACATGTGAACAAACTAGAATAACAGGATGCACAAACTTATCAAACCTGGTTTATGTACATAATTTCCCCTTAAAGAAATGGCCTTGAAAATGTCTATTCCCTAGTTGCCTTCCACAAAAAAATTGACCCCTCGTTGTCACTGTAATTTGGGGGATGCTGTTGCCCTATTGTGTGATGTCGCGCCAGAACAGTCAGGAGATTTGGTACATGATACTCAAACTGAATAAATCATAAGTTGACCCAGACCACTGAACTACTATATTTGTCTATTTAAATGGCAACTGCTGGAAAGAATGCTGAAGGATTGTTCTCCTACATCCTCATTCCGTTTCAGTAAATGAAACTATGTTACTAAATGAAAGTAAGCATTCACTAGTGAAAATACTGGGTTTCTCTGTAATAGTGGATTGAGATCCCACTCTCTCTCTCAGAAAACCATAGATGGAGGAGTATGTTATATATCAACCACAAATGATAGAGTGATGAGGATATGCATTAGCAATTGTAACCCAGTGAATTTGCACCAGTAATGCTGGTGGAGTTACATCTAAAATAAGATGATCCTGGGCTGAGAAAAGGTGAGAGCTATCTTAATGGTTGAAGGAGTGTATTTCTGCTAAAGCAGATATAATGGGTGGTGGCTGTATTGCTTTTAGACCACAACTTGGGATAGGGGAACAAATCAAATCACTTTGCTCATTTAATATAAAGATTTTCATTAAGCTTCATTCTTAGAAACCCACCACAATCGAGGATGGTATGGCACTGTTATTAGTCTTTACCAAATTCCCTTATTAGTTTTTCAGGGCTGCCTGTGTTGGTGTATGCTAATTGGGCTGAGCAGTGCAGTTCTTATGCATGTTCTTATATGTTGAGGCATATAAGGTCCAAATAATCTTCCTAGAAAGTCCAGGCTTAGAAAAGAAACAAAATGATTAGTTGTCCATAGTATTTTCCTCCCAGCCAATACCATCTCTAGTTAAGCCATAGAATCCTGCCTGTTCCCTGGTTGGCACAAAAGAGCCATTTCCGTGGTTTTTGTTCTTGCCTTATTCATCTCAATCACGGTGGATTAAAAAAAAATTTATTGAGTCAAAAACAGTACTGTGTCATGCTATGCAAATATACATCCAGCACCATTGGTCTACAGGGGAGGGGGTGATACCAGGAGCTGCACAGAAAAGGGTATCACAGCTGGTCTAACACCTTTCCACATATGTTAATCATCCAAGGGCAGGACTGACAGTCAAATATACCCCAACACCATTAAAATATATATTACTCTGGAGACCTTTCCTGTACATCTCCAAGAGTTTTTCCTCTGATTCAATAGCAACATGCTATAAGATCACAGATCTCTAACCTTCAAGATCAATCAGAACCTAGTCAACAAAGCTTTAATAGGAAACAAGAAAAAGCTGTAAGGTCCTGTTTGGTCAGGACCTATTTATACATACATATATATTTATCTAAGTTCACATATACACATATACATTTATATTTTTCAATACACATCCATATTTGTTTCCAAATTGTTTGTATAGTGTACTTTTTATACTGTATTGTTGGTACAGTTTTTATTCTATTGCTTTTTAATTTTATTACTCTTATCTTCTACTGTCCATTTTCTGCCGTGACGATGCAAATTTCCCACTTCTGGGACTAGTAAAGAATTATCTAATGTAATGTAATATAATCTAAATCATAGGGTCAAACGTATCACTAAGTTCTAGGAATTTAAGTATATGCCTCCATCAGAATATAATAATTTAAGGTATATCCTACTAGCCCAACAATGGAATCCAGTTGGCCAGCCAAAGGGTGTGACAAATGAAATCTGACTCTAACTGATTCATAACATTTTAGCTAAAAACTCCAGAGAATTTGTTGTTCTGCTTACATTCAGGCTTTTTCTACTACGCTCATTCATTTGTTCTGGATTGTGATTTGCACAGGATTCTTTTGTGGCAAAATCCATGGACACAATATGTACCCAGTCTGGTCTTGTTCAGGAACTGCAGGCTGGCTACAGACTAGCGCGATGTCAGCTTAGCTTGTCAATACAGTGCATGGATTCAGTATAGCTGTCTAATTAAACCCAGATGCTTAGCCTGTCTATGAGGTTAACTCAGAAACTCAGCATATCTGATCAAGTTAGGGATCATAGTTTAACCGACTGACTCAACTCAGAAGCTGCACAGGAGAGTTTATCAATGCATAATATAACTGCCACTTACATCCAGTTTAGGTGAGCCAAGTGAATAGTCAGGGGTCATAGGATTCCCACAGCAATGAGAGCAGGCGCGTAGCCAGTAATGGGCCAGGGCGGCACTGGCCCGCCCACATTACTCCCTGGCCCACCCAGGCAAGTTTGATCAAAATACATTTTTAGTTTATTTTTATTGTTGAACATGATGGTTAGACAGTGTTTTGTTATTGCCTTTGCCGAATATTGCAAAATAAAGGTGTGTTTTTGCATTTGTTTGTCTATTATTTTTTCTACTCTCTAAGGTTTAATTATTATTTAAGTAATATTTTTTCTAGGAAAAAATATAGGCCCGCTCACTTTTTCAATGGCCCGCCCAAAATACAATTTCTGCCTACGCCACTGAATGAGAGTTAATTTCAGTATTAATTAACAGGATGAGAAAAAAAGGGCGGGAACGGGAATCATATTAATTGAGCACTGATTATATGGATACTGTCTTTATTTCAAACACAGTGCTAGCTGTTTTGGTGACTTTTCAAGTCCCCAAAATGGGACATTATAAAATGCTTAATGAGAAAAATCATTGACCAATAATCATCAAATTTCTCTCAGACATATCTGGTCATAAACAATTCAACCTGGCAAAAAAATTAAAACCCAAAATCCCAGCAATATGAACTTTATCTCACATTAAAATTTGACCAGACATACATGAGAAAAATTTGGCGATTATTGGTTGTTGTTTTGGAACATTTAGCCACGTTAAGTTTTTTCACGCTAAGCGTTTTATAATGTTCCCTTCAAAACTGTCCTGTCCACTATAGTGGCTGGTTGGTTGCTTTTTTATGGACTAGCCTCATCGAATCAGGAAAATATGTCAAAGGAAAATTAAAGTTTATTACTTTGATTACTTTTCAAAAAGCTGGATCAGAATAACAACGAAACCATACAACTGGAGCTATTGCAGCGGATACTCGAATAAGTAACGATGCCTGCATGAAAGGTTAGGTGTTTGGTAGGAAAGCAACTAGCTGCTGGAAGAATGGTTCAATGGTGAAGTTAGTGTTCGTGATGCAAAGTTTCATTGCAACAATTATGGTAAGACTGGCCAATGACGGCAGGGTATACACCCACTGGGGGTACAGTGGCGCATTAGTACACGTAGTTTCCAGTTGTGAAGATAATGGGGTTTTGAATTTTTTGGCATTCTAGTTGTCAGCAGGTGGAAGACCTGGGTCTGGACAATATTGATTGCAGCAGTAGACCACTGCGTTTGTCTTCTGTTGTATGGCAGCTGTGGGGAAACTGTTATAGGACCCATTCTTGAAGTTGTTAGGTCTGATCATGATTTTTGTACCGGTCATTTCTGTTAATAGTAAAAGTGTGATTTATGAGGGAGGCCATCTCGGACGTGCTTCTGGGTTTTTTTTTGTGTGCATTGTTTTTTTCCTTTTTTTTGAGTTTATATGCAGCCGGTTTGCTGTTTAGTTGGACCAAGTCCCTGAAACCATTAACGTAGGTGCCTCTGTAGTACTTTGGTGAACTGCAGTGTAGACCATGCAGTGTTATTATTGTTGTGTGTGTAATCGGTTGCAGTGCATGTTATTTTCTTTTCTTGGTTGGTGTTTTTTTTTTCTATTGCGATTCTTTGTTATTTTTTGGGGATTCTCAAGCCATTTTAAACTGATCTGGGACAACACCTGAAACGAGGAGATAAAACAGGTGGAGATTTTACTGTAGGAAAATCAATCTAATGTAGCTGTAATATCAAAGACCCAGGTCACAGACTGCTGTTTAACTGCAACCCAGTACTTGGAGTCAGCTGTTGTTTGTTCTGGCTCCAAAATGCAAATGGATAAGGCGAGCTTATGGTTAGGCAGAAATGGCACAGTAATCAGAAAAGATCAAATTAATCTAGTCCACAGAAGTCCAATTGCTAGTCTGATATCTAAATATACCAATTGGAAATGCAAATCACATAAGAGAAACTGAAAGTCACAGTAACTGTGTGACTCCAGTGTTTATCTTATATACGTAACTTGTTAGATCCTGTTTGAAATAACCTACAGGCATGGTTGAGAGTCCACAATGTGGCAATGTGTGTGTGAATGTGTACAACACTGGTCTTTTGAGAAAAGTAATACTTGTTCAAACAGGAAAAACAGGATCTAACAAGTTATATAAGATAAACACTGGAGTCACGCAATTACTGTGACTTTCAGTTTCTCTAGTGTTTAAAAACCATTGCACCTGGTGCACAAGAGCCATTTCTGTGGTTTTTGTTCTCTTGCCTTATTCCATCCCAATCATGGTGGATTAAAAAAAAAAACAGTACTGCATCATGCTATGCATCTAAACATCCAGCACCATTGGTCTACAGGGGAGTGGGTGGTACCAGGAGCTGTACAGAAAAGGGCATCATAACTGTCCTAACACCTTTCCACATATGTTAATCATTCAAGGTCCGGACAGGCAGTCAGATATGCTCCCACACCATTAAAATATATACCACTCCAGAGACATGTTCTGTACATCTCCAAGAGTTTTTCCTTCTGACTCAGTAGCAAGATGCCGCAAAACCACAGCTCTCTAATTTTCAAGATCAATCAGAAGCGAACCACCACAGCTTGACTATAATAAGAAAAAGCTGTAAGGTCCTATTTGGTCAGAGTCTTCCTCATGATGGTGGGTAAATGTGGGATGACTCTTCTGATCCTCATGATGTCTTGTTCGCATATTAAAATGGGGCAGATATGTGGAGGTGGAGACTCTTTGACAACACTCTAGGTTGTAAATTGACCACTATAAGAGTTAATAAACATTAACATTGTAAAAACAACACTCACTGCAAAGTGTTAAAGGTAACACTGAATGGTGTGGACACATATAGAGACCATGCAGTGTTAATTTAACACTGGCACATTTGCTGTGTATAAACTGGATCTCTCAGTGCTGCAATTTGCATGGTCCAGTGTCTTACTAAGCTAATTCAGTTGGCACTGTCCCTTGTAAACTAATACAGTTTATACTTTAACTACTTTGAGTTTGGGTAATGGGACCTTTAGCTTGGGAGCTAATAGAGCAGATGGGTTGTGTTATAAAGGAGCACAGTTACATTTACCTGTACAATCTTTTGGCAATTCCTGGCCCCAAAGGTCTAGCAAATATAGCATGCCTACCTATTGAGGATGTGTGTCGCTGAGCTATGCTCGCCATAATTATCCAGCAGAGACAATTCGGGGTTCTACCACCATATGGCATATATTACATCCGTACCACTCAGACAACACACTCACACTGCCCACCGTGCTCTTTGCCCCGCTGACTCCTAATACACACGGTGGGTGCAGGCACACATACATACACACTACGTACACGATAAACATTAACCACTATACATGACATAACACACAGCACATTTATAATGACACAAGCGATTACTGAGAACTATTTACAATCTGGCATCGGTCCAACACGCCGTGCTGCCTGCTGGTACCTCTGCGCTACAGTATATTATATCCTGGTACTACCCACATGTCCATTCAGCATGTCAGCAGACATACCACCTACGCTATCTTACATCTTGAAACATTCACATTTACATTTGGCTTGATAGTACAACTGACATGTTTTATTAGATTATTAATGTATATTTAGCTTGATTGTGATATGTTTTATTGCTTATTTGTTAAGAGCAAGCCAGGGAATCAGGTATAGAAGCTGGGTAATTGGAGCAGATCTTTGACCAGTCTTTTGAAGCACTTCAATACTGAAATTGGGCAATAGTTGTTGGGAAAGGGTTTCTTGGGGACAGGGTTGATGTTGGTTTTTATTAACAAAAAATATTGGTACTTCAGCTTGGATAAGCAATGAGTTGAATATGGTCGAGAGTACCAGAGCTGACTGGTCTGCATAAGCTTTGAGGACCCATCCATGGATGCCATCTGGTTCTGCTACCTATCTGGTGTTAGCTGTCTCGAGCACCCTTCTCACTTAAATTTCCAAGAACCTTCTGCCTAGCAATAATGTTTTTATATGTTTGCTTCAAAGCGCACATATAAGATGTTGAGTTAATTTGCTAATGCCATTGTCACATTAGCTGCAGTGTGTGATATGCACAATGCTGAGCATGTGAAATGAAATTAGTGGTTTTAGGGCTGCCTTAGAAATAATTTTGACAAGCAGTTTAAAGTTAACCTCAAAAACCAAAATGAGATGGGGAAATAAGAAAAAATCTGAGCTGCAGCAGTTGCATGCTTCATTTGAACTTTGGAGAGGGTGTATGGCTGTATCTGGGGGCGGGGTCAGGATTTCTGTGTTGAATAGTTGACACGGGACCTGTATCTTTATTATCCAAATGTAAACATTTTAGAAACTGAAAGTCAGAGTAATCACCAGACTCTGCTACTTATCTTACATGGCACCTGTTTGGTCTCCTTTTCCCATGAGAACAAGTGTTACTTTCCCAGACGTGCAGTGTTGTACACTGACAGCCAGGAATAAAATAAATGCAGGTGTAAACTGGATCTATCAGGGCTGCAATTTGCATGGTCCAATGTCTTATTAAACTAATTGAGTTGGCACTGTCCCTTGTACACTAATAATAATTGATACTTTATTGATCCCAAAGGGGAAATTGTCTTTACACCTCCCTCAACTTGCCCTATTTTTGTAGAGCAAGTTGCCCACAAAGGGCAGCCACCCATAGCGGCACCCAGGGAGCTGGGAGTTAAAGGTCTTGCTCAAGTACCCGCAGACAGGCTGAGGCTGGGTTTGAATCTGTGATCTTCTGATTACAGGCGTAGCTCACTGAGCCACACAGATTATACTGAACTGAGTTGTTTAACTACTTTGTTGAATTTCGCCAGTAATTAATGTAAGAGCACGTAAGAGAAAGTGAAAGTCAGACTCACTGCTTTATCTTACATAACATCTGTCTCGTATCCTTTTCCTGTTAGAGCTAGTGTTACATTCCCAGAAGCCCAGTATTGTACCCTAACAATGTATTACTGAACTAATTCAGTTCGCACTACCCCTTGTAAAGTACTGAGATGTACTAGCTAAATTAGTCTGGTATCATAAACATTAGTGAGTCAGGATTGTTGTGCTATATTCAAATTTGTAGTGAGTGAATTTAAAAGGATGAGTTTCTTTTTGTAAGAGCAATAGATATGAATATATTGTTGGCCTGCTTTTTACTTTTGATACTTAAGTATTTATAAAACCTGTTTTTTTTTCCTTTTACTTAAGTAGAATCTTACTGGATAACTGAATGGACAATTTGAAGTCATTAATTATCTGAAACAGTCCAGGGATTAATTATCTGAAATGGTATATTCACACACAAATACCATACGCTAGCCACACAAATCATTTAATAAAATGGCATAGGTAGATTACCAGAATGAAATTTATTTACAGAGTACAATAGGACATTTATGACTAGTCAATTTATTAGTAAAATACACTTTATATGACATTGTTTTACATGGTATACAGAAAATAATGCAATATCAAACTGGATTATGGCTGTCCTTTTGAAAATATACATGTAAAAAATATTGCGAGATCAAATCTCCAAGATCTTGAATTCTGCCCGTATACATTCCAGCTCACCCAGCTTCTCCATAAACTGAGAAACCATCTCCCTGATATTAGCTACAAGCTTCATTGTGGCTGATTTTATTTCATCTTGCTGTTGTGACCCTTGTCTTATGCTGTGGATCTCTTTGGCATCCTTAACAATGAAATAGACATCGAGGGCAATGAAGAGAGCAGACAGCACCCCTGTGAAGGCCTCTGCCACCCGTACAGCTCTGGCTGCTTGAGCAGCCACCTTACCGACGTTAATCACCTGGGTCAGACGGACAAGCTCTGCAATGCCACCCAGGCCCCTCCCTGCTCTAAATGCAGCCTGTGCCATATTAGCAACATTTGTGTAGCTCTCATGGTCCTGTACGGTATGAATACCCGTGATGATGTCTTCCACGCTCATGAGAATGGGTTCCATCTTGTCCCGGTATTCACTGATGGTTTCCTCAATAGTCTTACGGTCCATTGACTGGTTCACCATGTTGGTGATGTTGGAAACGGCACTGGTTGCCCCTCCAGCTACAGCAACACCAATCCCCACACCAGTGACAATCAGAGAGGCTCCCAGAGTGAAGGGTGCCAGAATGAGCCCAACTAAGGAGGTGATCCCCCCTGCAGCTCCTACCACCGACCCTGTCAGGCTTCCTACGGTGGTACCGAAGTGGACGCGTTCCAGACCATCTGCCGTCATCTCCAGCTTCTTCACTAGACTCAGGATATCACCAACATCTTGGTCATAGAAATTTTTAAATGCTTCAATATCTTGGTTGAGTTGAAACATCATATTACTCAGATTTCTGGTAAAATTAAAAAGATCAGTATCAGTGCAGGGTTTTAAAAATTCATAGTTAATTATATAGCATGAATTTGAAGCCTAGAGCATTTAAAACAGTGAGTTTAATCTCAATTTGCATTCTATACTGACTTAGCTTCTTCTGTTAAAAAAATGCAAAAAAACATTTAATTAAAACAGTGAAGTAACTCATCGTCATGTTCACCTGTCCATGGGAATTTCCTGATTATACATCTGTCCATCTTCCGACCGCTTATCCTCATCACGATCACAGGGCACTTCCCGATTTTTCCAGTCACGATTACCTGATGAACAAACATCATCTGTTACGAATGACTTATCGCTTCAAAAGCAGATATAAAAATGCAAAAAATACTAATGAATTTCAGCATATAAGCTTCACAAAGTTTACCTGGATCTTCTAGTGAAATAGGTCCAGGAACCATTAAGACTTCTTCCTTTACGACGCAAAAAGCAACAAAAATATTTGTGTAATATCCGCAGCATAAATGTAATGGTAAATGTTAACTTTTTTACTGTTTGAGTATAAAATTAAAATCACTACAGAAAACAGAACAGAGATCATGTAAACAATGGTGTAACATTCTAGCAAATAGATTTTTTTAGTTCATATGAAATGTGCCACAATTATTTTTAGGCTTTTCATTTGCCTAAAAATATCTCCAGTAAAACTGCAGAGTATAATAATGTGCAGCAACATTAAATATATATATAAATCTGGAAAAGGAACAGTTTTAATAACTCCTAAGCGGTTACTCAGTTTGGTGGAGTTTCAAGATAAATAATTTTAAAACAACAAATGTGCAGGTTTTATAAATACATATGTTTAAAAAATTACAGCCAAGTCTAGGCATTTCAAATACAGTCAAAGTAAAAAGTTTGTGAACCCTATGGACTTATCTGGTTTTCTGCATAAATTGGTCATAAAAAGTGATCTGATCTTCATCTAAGTCACAGGTACTGATATACACAATGAGCTTAAGACAATAATACACAAAAAATTCTACTCTTTCATGTCTTTATTATACAAACACATTCAACGTTCACAGTGGTGGTGGAAAAAGTAAGTGAACCTTTGGATTTAATAACTGGTTGACCCTCCTTTGGCAGCAATGACCTCAACCAGGCGCTTCCTGTAACTGCAGGTCAGACCTGCACATCATGCAGGGGGAATTTTAGCCTATTCTTCCCTGCAGAACGGCCTTAACTCTTCCATATTCTTTGGTTGCCTTCTGTGTATGGCTCTCTGCAAGTCATTCCACAGCATCTCAATAGGACTGAGATCTGGGCTCTGACTGGGTCACTCCAAAGGTGGATTTTGTTCTTTTGAAACCATTGTCCTGTGGATTTGCTACGATGTTTGGGGTCATTGTCCTGTTCTATCACCCAGCCTCTTCTGAGCTTCAGTTGATGGACAGACATCTTCACATTATCCTGGATAATTTGCTGATAAACTTGGGAATTCATTTTCCCCTCAATGATGGCAAGCTGTCCAGGTCCTGACACAGCAAAGCAGGTCCAAATCACGATGTTCCCTTCATTGTATTTTACTGATGTTTTGATGTTGATATGGTGCCCTTTTTACGCCAAATGAAGTTCTGCTTGTTCCTCCCAAATAGTTCAATTTTGGTTTCATCACTCCAGAAAACATTTTCCCAGGACCATTGTGGAGTGTCCAAGTGCTCTATTGCAAACTTCAGGTATGCAGCAATGTTCTCTTTGAGCAGTGTCTTCCTCCTTGGTTTCCTGCCATGGACTCCTTTCTTGTTCAGTGTGTTGCATATTGTTGAATCATGAACAGAGATGTTAGCCAGTTCTAATGACTTCCTCATGTCATTCGCTGTCACTCTAGGGTTCTTCTTTACCTCATTGATGACTTTGCGTTGTGCTCTTGGGGTCGTCTTGGCGGGGCACCCACTTCTAGGCAGAGTAGCCACAATACCGAATTGTCTCCATTTATATACAACTTGCCTAACAGTAGACTGACGAATATCTAAAATATCTGAGATGACTGTGTAACTCTTTCCAGCCTTATGTAAATTAACAATTCTTGATCGTAGCTCTTTTGTGAGGCATGATTCCCATCTGGATATGCTTCTTTTCAAAAACTCAGACTCAAACTTTTCAGTGTTTTTCATCAATCAAAGTAATTCTAGGCCACACCTCTTTTCATTAATTGGACTCCAGGTTTGCTAAATTCTGACTGCAATGAGCTTTTTAAAAAGTCATTAGCTTAGGGTTCACTTACTTTTTCCAACCGTCAGTTTCACAGTTTGAATGAATTATTCAATATGATCAAAAATTCCCAGAAAATATATGTCTGTAGTTTTAAGAGTCTGTGTTTGTTCATTATTGTGACTTACATGAAGATACGACCATGTTTTATATGGGAGTTACACATGAATATAGTAAATTCCAATGGGTTCAAAAACTATACTTTGTATAGAGATAAATTTACCATTAATAAGAGCTGTTTGGGTATCCTATCAACTAAGAATGCTTTCCTTAGTATGCCATCGATGGAGGGTCTGTGTGCTGGGTCCTTATGTAGGAGTTCATCCAGCAGATGGCGCAGTTCAGATGAGAAATTCTCAGACAGATGTGGAGTGGGCCTGTTCCATAACTCAAACATGAAGAGCAGATTTTCTTGTAGTGAAAACTATAAGGAAATGGAAGATTTAAGATAATAAATATATATATATATATATATATATATAAAGATATATAAATGAATTTTATGCTGATAGTATCACAAAACAATATGTAATACTTACTGCAAATTCAAGTGTGCAGAGTTCATACAGCACACAACCCAAAGCCCAGATATCACTGATGATGACAAAGATAAGTATAGTCATTGCGATATGCGACTGTCAGTAAAAGACCCTTTTTTGTTGGCTAACTACTTTACTATTTCTGCAAAGAAAGTGTATAACAATAATATATTTTAGTGATATATGTAAAATTGTAGGCCATTCTCATTAATTGTCAATGTGTTTCGACCAAAACAATTTTGCAGATCATGACCTCGTAAGTTGCCGAGATAAGGTACGGCAATGTTTTTAACGTCAGCGTTAAAAACGCAGACTTCGTCAGACAGATTCTGACCAGTATCACGTTTAACAGCAATCTATGAAAGGAATATTAGGCAGCACTGTATCAGTCATTGTTTTGTCAATTAACCAGGAAGGAAATATAAATTAGAACTGCACTTCAATTAGAACTGTGCTTATCAACCCTGAAACACTGAATCTGCAGATTTGTTTCAGCTAAACCTTTAATTAACCATGTTTTTGATTTAATTAATTGAACAGTTAAAATCACCTTTAACTCAACTTGATATTTAAGGTCGCAGTATGACTTTTCAGTTGTGTGAAATTTAGACCATCATATAATTATGATGCCAAAAACACTGCGTTAGGGGTTCACCATGGCTGGTTGGTTAAATTCCTTCCTTGGTGTTATATAATGAATGAACTCCCAAGAACTTATATTAACATGGAAATTCTTTATTTGGTAGAAGACAATTGAAAAAAACAATTAAATATAAATATTGTGGGAAAAGGTTTATTCAACATATACGACTGTGGGGAACATAGGGCACGCATGTGTATTAGTGCTGGGCGTTATACCAGTTCATCCGGTATACTGGTTTTAATTTCCTGTAGAATTTCAATTTTTCATGTATGTCCATGCCGTAACATAGCTGAAACAATAGCTGCAATGCTTCAATAGGCAGCAAATGATGTAATATTGTTTGCTACTTTAAGCGCCATTAATCACTGTGCAGAGTGTATTAAACAGGTACCCCTATTAACTGTGGGTACCCTACTTGCTAAAAGTTATAACTTTGTAACTCAATGATTCTCCATATATAAATGTTCAGCATTATAGTGTTTTGAACTACTGCCTGAAAATTTGGATTATTCAGAATTTAATTTGGTCTGCAATTAAATGCATATCGGTAAAGCAAAATCTCTATTATCAGTTTATCATGGCGGTAATTATTAAAATCATGCCAGTCAAACAAAGATGATGTTATCAAGCAAAATATAGTTATAATGAATAAAATTTGTAACTATCTAAATATACATTAATATGCTAATAAAACATGTCAGTGAAACAATTCATATCCAGCTAAGAACATGGTTATAACCCATAAAATATGTCACTATGGAGCTGAATAAACAGTAATGTTCTAATAAAACATGTCAATTATAATATCAAGTTAAATGTAAAAAATTTTATAATAATTCACCTTTTTAAAAAATTGATAAATGTATTTTATTGATGTAAACGCTTGCTGCCACGATAAGAGTGAACTTGAAAAAAAAATAAGAACAAATACCGTGATATACAGTGGAACTGCCAGAATCTTAAGAAGTACCATAATAAAAAATTTTGGTCATACTGCCCAGCATTAATATATATGTATACAGCGATATATCACACTGCTGTAGTACATGAAAATTAGAGATACAATACCTTTTGTTGTCAAAACATTTGTCTTTCCATACCTCCGGAGCAATATAAATAGGCATTCCTAATTTGGTTTTTGCATATTCATCTTTCCTGGAATAAAATAATAACATATCACTATAACTTCGCAATTCACACTGTCGTTTGAGTAACAAGTACTGCTGTTTTGGCCAAATTATACAGCAAATTGCTTTGCCTTGAGATTAAGTTGTACTTTTAAAATGTTTGCACTAGCTATATGTTAATATCATTCCATCCATAGTCCGCCTTGTGTCACATACCTCCTGGGATAATCTCCAGAGTCACAGAGACCCTGCATTGAATAATGATCATTCCAAATAGACAGGTGAATGAGGTGAATGTATATTTCAATGTTATCCTTCCATTTTCTATAACCGCTTATCCTATTCAAGGTCACAGGGGATCCAGAGCCTATCCTGGAGGCTATGGGCACAAGGCAGGGAACAACCCAGCATGGGGCACCAGCCCATCCACAGAGCCCTGCTCCCAGAGGTATGAGGCAACAGTGCTAATCACTGTGCCACCACAGCACTGTTATTTCAATGTGAGGCAGACACGGTTTTTCCATGCAGGCCTGGACTGGCTATCTGGTATACCAGGCATTTTCCCGGTCTGATTATTTTTCTTCCTGGCCTCAGCAGAATGTTACCAATTTGCTTTACTCTGCTAAGGTGTCCTAATCACAAAAGCAATTGGGAATACACTACCTGCTTAGGATTTTAGAAACTCCAAAGTCTCCCAGCTTGATGGTTTCTTCTCCGGTCAAAAAGAGACACTAATATGTAAATAAATAATAATACCAATGATATTGTGGTTAAAGCATTTTCATTTTGCTTAAAACAGTTCTCGAACTGCAAAGGGTTCTAACATCATCTGAATGGTAAGCTACCTGAGGCTTTATGTCTCTGTGTACAATACTCCTGTCATGAACATGTTTCAGGGCCAAGCAGATCTGCACAAACCAGTCCAGGATCTGAAACAAAAACACAAATGCAGGCAGCATAATGGTGCAAATATGTATTGAAATTATGTTTATCTTCCACAAACGTTATCAAACATAAACAAATAGTTAATGTATCATGCAAATATTTTACCTAATACAAAGGACAAGAATACTTGTACAAGTGTCATTTCTTATAGATTTTTGCTGCATGTGTTGAACCTTATGAGATTATTTATACTATATTTTACTCGAAAACTGTTGATGGGTTACCTGGTCTTCTGAGAATGGAGTGCCTTCCATTTTCTGGGACTTAATCTTTTCAGAGAGATCTCCACCTTCACAGTAATCCATTGCTATGTTACAGCTGCTGTTCTCTATAAAGGAAATATATTTATGTCTTTTATTCCCAAATTAATAGACCAAACAAGTAAAATTAAAGCACATTTGGATACTATTGCAAAAAATGTTTAGCAATTCAAGATACACTACCCAACTACTTTATTAGTAACACTTGTATACCTGCACATACAGTACATTCAAGTATCTAATCTGCCAATCATGCCAGTCATAATTCTAAGTTGCTTATGATAAAAGCATCAGATAAATGGAAATGTGTCTCTAGATCTGAATCCAATGAAACACCTTCAGGATGTAATGGAACAAGAGAGTCACAGTATTAATGTTCAACCAACAAATCTGCATCTGTTTTTAAACACCCAGCAGCTGTACCGTCAGTAAAGGACTCCACATAGCGGACAATGTGACGATGGTCCATGTCTGCCAGACTGGCCACTTCCCTCTGTGTCCTCTGCTTGATTTCATCATCTGTCTAAACAAATCAATTATGAAATTCATCAGTGAGATGAATTAAATTAAAGGATACAGTCCCCTCCACAATTATTGGCACCCGTGCTAAATCTCAGCAAAAAGTGTTAAAAGAAATTCACATTTTGGTGAATTAGCTTAATCACACACTGAACAAATTACAAAAATTCAACCTTTAACTGAAGTTAATCTATTTGGAGTGGGGGAAAAAATCCTGCCTCATGAAATAGTTATTTTTAAGAAAACGAGGCTTACCACAATTATTGGCACCCCTATACCTACTTATAAACACAATGTAATTGAAACATTTTCTTCATTTATATTTCACATATTTAAGTTGTTCTGATTGTGTAGGAATTTATAATCCAAGGAACAATAATCCATGACTTCTTTTTTTCACTAAGGTATAAATATGAGGTAAGTCAGAGGTCAAATTCCACTATTAATCAACATGAGAAAGATAAAACCAAATGAGGGAGAAGTACGTTGATCTTCATAAGTCACGGAATAGTTATAAAATTAGCTACTGCCTGAAAATGCCCATTTCTAAGAATTTACTTTGATTAAATATTGTATATTTATTATTTTGTCAGTGCATTTCTTATAATCCTTTTACTCATGTTTACCTAGGTTGCCAGTAACTGTTTAGGATACTGTATATATAATATCCATCAACTAAACACTTATCCTGGTTATGGCAAAAAAAGTTTAGTTTTTTTTTATGGAATGCTAGCAATCACTACTTCACAATATAATTACAAAATACCACTTATCATATCTGACACATGCAAAATATATAACAGAGACTTACATTTGTCATGTTAATAGTCCTAATGATGTATTTATTCCCATCTTTATTCACCAGAGCTGCTTTCCCAGTACTTTCGTTTTCAGTCTCTTGCAGTAAAGTGTAGCCCTTTTCTGTCAGAAGACTTTGTTGATTACCCATACCTGCAGTGAAGAAGAAAATCTTAATCTTCAAAAAATTCATTTTACCTTAACGTTAATTTATAGAAAATATTTGATGGTTCTTAATGTGGTTATATTTTGTTCTTCATTTATTTCCAGATTTAAAAACATTAAAAACATAACCAAAACAAAATCAAAACATTTGAAAAATGAAAGAAAACAATACTTACCCAAGTTCAGTCATTAATGATTGTATTCAACGATTTATTCCCTATTCCCTAAATGACTAACAACGCTCACTCTCCCGGTATAAATATTAACTTTTGTTAGTACACATGAATTCAAGGAAGTGTTGGGCGTTTCTGACTTGATTACAAGGAAGTGTTCTGTCATGTGATTTGAACACGTGAACAGACTGGAGTAACAGGCTGCTTTTTGCAGTGTTGCCAATTTAGGGACTTTGTTGCTATATTTAACGAGTTCTTAGATGACTCTAGCGACTCGTTTTCAAAAAAGCTATTAGCGACAAATCTAGCGACTTTTTCTGGTGTTATTGGAGACTTTTGGAGACTATGACGTGAAAGCACGTATCGTTCTTAACTCTCCTCACCGAGCAGCGGGTGCTGCCGCGGGCTCCTCTCCCGTCCCAAAGCATTCACAGGCGGACAGTCCTCACGCAACAGCCCGCCCAGCTGCAGTCTGAACAGGAGATGTTCACCCCTTCGCGTCCAGACTGCAAATGAATTGCGTATGCGCAAAGCCGCCAAGATCGCGCGTAATGTGTTATCAACTGATATTGCTAACAATGGCTACCAAATAACTGGGCTAGAATTGGAATTCATGATAGTCGGATTTAAGGTAGTTCGGGCTAATTGTAAGTGAACGAAGATAAAGGCCATTTAAACTGAGGTAACTTAAATCCGACAAGTTGTCCGGCTAAGCAAAAAATTATTGCTTTTTCATATGGGTCCATGGTATTGCTACTTCTGTGGCAAATGGAACGGGTTTTTCGCGAGTTTTTAGCGGATGTGGCGTAATCTCGGAATCCGAAAATCGGATCCCAAGGCACAATGACTACACTAAAATAAACTACCGATTTGTATGGGGTTCCATTAATGCCAAAAATATGTCGTCTTGGTGTGTCGATTTCCTTGTTTAACTGCGTCGTTATGCATGTCGTCCTGATGTGTCGTTTGTCTGTATTGTTTTCCCTTTAGTCCCGCTGTATCAAATTCCTGTTTGTTTTATGTATATCATCTTCTTGTATCACTCTCAAATACACCAATCATTATCCAATACGCGAATTCGTTCCATTCGTGCTAAAAAAATTGTCTATATGCTTTATGCATGTCGTCTTCCTTGTCGTCTGACCGAGGTGAAATCAGTTTTAGGTTGGATATTCGACGGATATTCAGATCCACACTCTCCAGATTTAGCGGCGGGGCATCACTCACGCTAGACGGCATAAGGCGGTCGAAAGACGGCCAGGTCAATTCCACAGCCTCGGAGGCACTCGCACACTGCTGATTTAGGGACCGTCAACGAATTACTGTCAGAATAATAAAATACTGATTGCTTGCAATAACTTCAATGTAATGGAACCCAGTAACTCCAAAACGAGTGTATATTCAACAACTACCTGACATACATAGGACACAGTGAACTTTACTCATTTTTAACACTTTATTTTATTTTAAATGATCTTTTAAAAGGAAAAAGTGGGTAAATAGATTTCTTTCAATATCTTTTAGGCAATGGGAGTTCATGACGCCCAAATTGGTGCAAATTATGCTGCTATCTAATGCCTATAGGACACAGCAACTTTCAATCGATTTTAACCCTTTGTTTAATTGATATGATTTTTTTTCTTCTAAAATTAGGCCTTTTTTTCAATAGCTCCTAGGCCGTAGGATCCGTCGAATATCCAACCTAAAACTGATTTCACCTCGGTTGTCGTCTGTATTGTTAAGAATGTCGTCCTGATGTGTCGTCTGAATGTGTTGTTACAACGGTCGTCTTGCTGTCGTTGATTTTATTTGCGTTTAATTTTTCCCATTTATATTGTTGTGCATGTCGTCCTGCTTTATTCTGCAATACACGAATCATTCAATATACTTTCATTTTATCATTTATTCATTTTCTAATCATAGACAGTCACTTATCTGCACGTCTTCTTTTTATCCTTCGGTTTCTTAATTTTATTTTACATTTTAATACTGTACAACACTTTGGCCTCGTGTATGAAAACGTGCCATACAAATAAACTTTGACTTGAATTCGTTTACTTGGGCTGTTTAATTTCTCATATCCTTTGCAAAAATATTTTTATTTAGTTCTGCAATAAACTGAGTAGACGGTGGTACCTGTAGTTCAGGATTGAAAATTAAAGCACAAAGTGTCAAGGTGCTGACTAATTTAGGATATTCACCATCAAGCACTGAGAATCCATTCCAATGTATTTAGGCTGCCTCTTTGTTACTGCAGACCAATTGTGTGGCATACTAGCATTTGTGTGGCAGCCTAAAATTTTTGAAGAAAAGCTGGTAATTGATAGCCTGGCTCAACATGCCAATTAGTTCCAGCTTATTGCTGTTAGTGAATTTGGGTCTGGTTATAACAAGGTAGGAAATTGATCATCCCCGAGCAGAAATTGATTCAATGTTGAAGAACCCAGCATGAATCAATGTTGATTGATCATCCCAAGCATAAATTGATTCAATGTTGAAGAACCCAGCATGAATCAATGCTGATTGATCATCCCCGAGCATAAATTGATTCAATGCTGAAGAACCCACCATGAATCAATGTTGATTGATCATCCCTGAGCAGAAATTGATTCAATGTTGAAGAACCCACCATGAATCAATGTTGATTGATCATCCCCGAGCAGAAATTGATTCAATGTTGAAGAACCCACCATGAATCAATGCTGACTAATCATCCCTAAGCATAAATTGTTTCAGTGTTGAAGAACCCACCATGAATCAATGTTGACTGATCATCCCCAAGCAGAAATTGATTCAGTGTTGAAGAACCCACCATGAATCAATGTTGATTGATCATCCCCGAGCATAAATTGATTCTATGTTGAAGAACCCACCATGAATCAATGCTGATTGATCATCCCCGAGCTTAAATTGATTCAGTGTTGAATATTTTCAGTAATATTGATGTTGACTCAGCATCTTATTTTCAATGTCAAAAAAAGTCACTTTATATCAACATTGAATCAAGGTTTTGCCACCATCAATTTTTCAATATTAAAAATCTGACCAAAACCATTCAATATCAACGTTGATAATTTAAAATTGACCATAATTCAACGTATTTAACTATACTTCAACATTGAAACAATAACATGATGCTATCTGGGAAATTACTAAAATCAAATTCCATACTTTTCCATACTGCTTAAGAAACCCTTGATTCTATTAATGGGAAACAAAGAATGGTCTAATTGTCATAGATGATATGCATTACAAAACACAGCAGAGAAAGGAAATCCTTATGTTTTACCTTCATAAGGATTCAAATAAATCCAAATGTTGGAGACTGGAGTATCCCTGACTCCACATACTCACCGAAGGTTGAGTAGGAGGGATGCAGGGGCAGACGCAGTATCACCTCACACGTATTAGCCTCTGGGAATAGTCTTTGATTCCCATCATTACAATGGAGAAACTGAATGGTTGGATGGTGGGGAAACCCAAGTGGGGGTATGCTGTCAGTCCTTGAAGCAAATATCAGGATTCGCTCCAGGGTCACAGGTCTAGTTCCCTCTAAAGCAGTGGTCCTCAACCTTTATTTCGTCATGGACCGGTTTAATATCAGAAACTATTTTCACGGCCCGGCCTTTAAGGAGTGGCAGATAAATATACGTATACGTATTCATACGAATAAATGATACGTATAAAAATGGGGATATTTTAAAAATATAATAATGCGGTATCTTTAAAATATAATAATAAACGTAAATCCAATGTGTATTCGCAGCTTTATTAACAGCATCCTCATAACATCGAGCCAACAACATAACACGGGTAACATCTTACTAGCTTGTGGGACTATTTTTAGCTTTAACTATCACGTGACCGAAGTTTTTTATTTTTTCTGTGCAGCCCGAGGACCGGTACCACATGACCCACGGCTCGGTACCGGTCCACGGTCCGGGGCTTGGGAGCCACTGCTCTAAAGGAGAAGGAAAACAGAAAGAATAGTTACTTAATCACTTCACAGCAGCACAAATAAGTGAAAAACACATAAAATGGCATGAGATCAACTAAAATAAAACTATATCACACCTAGCATGAATATATGTACTCTACACTTTAAGCATTGCACAATAAAGAAAACATATACAGTAACATACCATCCACCTCAATCAGCCAATCTTTCCAGAACATCATGGCTCGGTTCCCTAGTCTCCTCCTGTTGCTCCCAGGATCTGAGAAGCAAACACTGAAGAGGTCCAGGAGGTCCTGCATTTCAAGAGCTTTTGGGCCACCAACGAAGACAGGTTTCATTGCTTCTGGGTGCTTCTCGATGGCTTCTGCAACCCCCAGGGTTTTTAATCCATCCACCAACCTGACAGAGCAGAAGTATTAAACAAAACAAAACAAAAAAATAAAACAAGTCAGTGTTTTGTTTTCATAATGCAAAAGTTAAGCAAGATTCCATCCACACATTCTGCCTTATCTTAGACACATGATTGACGGGCAGCCTACTGGAGTTACATTTACCATAAGCTAGAGAAGCAGAAGAAAAAAGGCAAATACTATAGCAATTGGGGGAGCGATTGCGACCAAAACGGGACACCAGCTTTTACATATGACATGTTTTTGGGTATTTAATAAATGTTTATGTCTCTTTTCTCGACACTTCCCGCGTAATTTCCATTTTAGCGCCACTTCTTATGTTCGAAGTTCGAACTAGGGAGGTGCTTATAGCCATAGCTTGCTAGTTGGTTGGCCACAAGAAATGGCATGCTAAAATGGAAATTACGCGGGAAGTGTCGAGAAAAGAGATATAATTAGTGGAACAAAAACTGAGCATATGCAATTATTTTTGTTTTATTATTATTTAACTTACATTTATTAAATACATTTTTTGCATACATCTCAATTTTTTAATATCGGAAAACTCGATCGATAACCCTTTGTCTAATATTCGCAGGTGCTGGCGGTGAAACTTGCCATCACTTAATTATTAGTGGAATAATGTCAAAATCATTTATTTTTGTTTTGTGAAACCGAAAGATCGATCTGGGGGCCAGATTCAATAAGAATCATAAACATGTCATATGAACAAAACAAATAAAAGCCGATGTCCCGTTTTGATCGCAATCGCTCCCCCCAATAGCCTAATTAACAAATAAAGAAAACGACTTATTTCTCCTCCATTGTTTTAGAGTGGCAGTGTAGTTTCATATGAAATTATTTGTGAAGTTGACCCTACAAACTGTTTGCGTCTCCCATGCGTATTTAACATAAAGGTCCCAGTTCCTGTTATGCCGTGAGAAAAAGCGACACATCAAAGCGGCACGAGCTACAAAAGATCCATGTCGAGACACCCCAGGGACTTGTAAAACGGGACCAGGTTCCGGAAATTCAATGTGAAAGCACCTTAAGTTCGCAGTTATTTTCAATATGACTTGCTTAATGTTACCTTCAATTAAGGAATTGCCTTTGTTTCGCAACGCATTTTTAATTATTATGTTTACCATCACACATAACCGCCCCTCTCCTGAACACGAATTGACAATCATAGGCTAGCATGCCATTCTTAGCTCTTGCAATGAAATGACTCGAAAAGATCGATACCTCGTGTGGGTAAGGTTTTATCTTTCGGTGAACCTCCTCCTGAGTCTGAGAAGTCCCCTGAGCGTAATTGTGATTGGTCAACGTGACTCTTTGGGCGTGCAGGCTCCTAGGTGAAAGAAGGTACCCCCAATAGCATACTGCTGCATACTCGCAGCACTGTTCTCAGGCCCCACACTCTCACGTGGCACGTGACGGCAGGGCCTGAGAATGAAATAAAATAATTGAAGTTTGACAGTAATCAGTGTTGAGTGCAGTTGTGAGGTTAACACTGCCTGGGTTAAATTCTATCCATGATGTTGAAGATGTTTTCCCAATATAGTACACCGTATCAGCAAAGAAAATATAAGCAGAAAAGTATAATACATAATGTTATGTCCACATAACAAATGGATAAGGAACGACCAGCAATGCAGTTTCTCTCAGGAAAATCCCTTTACGAGGAGTAAAGGTAACCTTATGGAAACAATGTGGACAATACTTACTGAGAAATAGAAGAACATAAGCAAATACATAATCTATACTTAAACCACTGAGATCAATAAAAAAATCCATATTTAATCATTTAGCCCTAATGCTGACCAAAGACATCTACCACTACTAAGACCTCAGCGAAATTCATGATGAAGTATGGGTACTATCCTGACCTAAAGGGATCAAAAAACATTTAAAAAAAATAAAATTATGCCATATACCCTGGTAACACTGCTTCTGTCTGGGGTAGCACCAGACCCCAACGTATTTCAAAGGGATTTTGGAAATTATTGGCGGATTTCATCGCCCATGACAGCAGCTGAAATGTTTATTCACACATGAAGTATGGGTATTTTACTGACCAATTTTATAAAAAACATTAAAGTTTTCAAATTATGTTTATTTTAGTGCTACATAACTTCAGCGGTTTGGTGCCAATAAATGTCCCACATTTCATGCCATTTCACTACAATGGAGTCAGTAACATTGCTCATAATCAATAAAAAAATGATTTATTTTATTTTTCAACAAAACATCAAAACATTCTAACTTTGTTATAACTAATGAAATTTTAATTATTATTAGCAACACAGAACGAACACAACGAAAATTACCCAAGCTAATAAAATGAGTCGAAAAAAAGTAGGGAACTGTAACAGAACTGTATGCTAGCGCTTACTTACATTCAATGCAATACTCGAATGAATGTTTACAGCACATGAATCTCCCACACTTAGCGCACACCCGGGTGGTTTTTTTATCTGGAACCCGCGGGCAGAAGCCGCACCTTCCTTTTCTACCCCTTATCCCTTTTACTGTGGGTTCCGCTGAAGTGGAGGCTAGGACCTTTGCAGCCCTCACCATTGCAGCTGCATTGGAGGAACGAGGGAGGCGTTCCCTTTTCTCCATAGCTTGAGTCACAAGGGCTCTCCCTACTTCCTCTAAAAACAGCCGCCGACACTGCCTCTTGCCCTGGTGCCAAGTCGGGTTCAGCTCTTGCCAAATTACAAAGGCGTTATAGGCTGAAATGTCCAGCATGTTGAAGAACACAGCCATGGACCATCGGCATGTGCGACTTTGGCAACTGTATTTCGCTGTACACATGTCCAAAGTATCAACTCCTCCTTTAGTTTTGTTATAATCTAAAATTATTTGGGGTTTGCAGTTCCCCTGGGAGCTAATACGGGCCTCCCTGTGGGCGGTGCTCATGAGGAGCACATTTTTACTTTTTTTGGCCTGGTAGGACACTGCGGTCGTAGTGGCCGTATGCGCAAATTTGGAGCTGTGCACTGGACACCTTTTTCTAGCTAAAAAGACGGAAGGCAGTTCCCCCCTATTACGCTTAATGGTGCCCAACATGGTCATTTTCCTTTTTAGCAGTTCTTGTCCGAGCTCGTAGGATGTGAAGAAATTGTTGCATACAATAGTGCGACCGACCAACCCCACCGTCATGTCCAGCACGACCCTCAAGCCTGACTTTGATTCCCTAACATCTGTGGTAGGCTTGCCGGTGTAAATTTGAAGATTGTATGCATAACTGGATGCACTGTCACTGGCCACCCAGAGCTTTATCCCGTATTTCCTCGGCTTCTTCGGCATGTACTGCTTGAATGCACATCGACCTGCAATAACACATAGAGAATGCACATTAGCTGTCAAATAAATAACTGCGGTTAAGTTAGAATTGTGATGTCCAGTACACAGACAACGATGTACACGGATTATTTTTGCGCTTCAAACCATTTCATGATTTGTGCAAAATTGTGTTTATAGCTAATATTAATCGGTGTTGTCAGCTGTAATGACATGGTGGTTTAGCATTTTGGGCTCATGGTGACTGTTGCACACCCCTTTGTTTCCCAGATTGCTTTACGTATGAATTTTAATTAATTTTTGAATGTTCGAATGTATGTGCAATGGGACAATACATGAATGGGTTAATAACTTTAAAACTAGACAAGACAGGCACAACTAGTGAAGTGTGCTTTGATCAGTGTCTATGTGTCCACTAGGGGTGTAACAATACATCGATTTGTATCGATATATTGATTCAACGGCAAACGATCCGATGCATCGATGTGACCGCATAAATATCGATACATGCGTTTTTATTTTCTGGCCTGTTCCAGTATTGTTTTCATGATCCACTCCGATGTATACATGGTCTACACCAGGGGTGCCCAATACGTCAATGGTGATCTAATGGTCAATCGCAAAGGTAGTGTGGGTAGATTGTATGGCATAAAAAATAGAGGATGGATGACGCGGTCAATCGCGCCAGCTGCTGCAAGCTACCGAGTCGCCTAGTTAGCCTCCAATTTATTTCTACTAAACTTAAGAAAGGGTATAAAAATGAATGGGGGAGCTGGACCAAGTAAGAAGCCAAAAACCGATCACTTCCATACAGAATGGGAGGAGGACTGTTTTATTTCACCATGTCATATTCGAAGTGCATTTGCCTCATCTGTCAGTGTACTATTGGTATTCCGAAGAAGGGAAATGTGGAGCGGCATTTGCGGACTGTTCTTAAAAACTTCCCTCCGAAAAGTGAGCTGAGAAATAGAAAGGTGAAGGAACTTAAAATCCCAGTTCAATTCAAAAATACTCTATTTATCCCAAAGGGAAATTATTAATAATAATAGTAATAATAAATAATTTTAAAGAATACTCAATTTTTTTATACATAAATATATGTTTTACATTTTTTTAATAGTAGGTAGATGTCATGACCTGCTCGTCCGATCCTTGTGTGTGCTACGCCCCCTCAATACCTATGTGTACTACCCCGATTGTGATCACCTGTTTCCTGTTATTTCACCTGGTCTTGTGTATTTAGTCCGCATCTGAGGTTCAGTGGAACAAATCTGGGCTGGCCCTTCTGATTCTCATGACTTGTGCGCATATTAAAATGAGGCATATGTTTGGAGGTGGAGACTCATTGACTTACCCTATGGTGTAAATTGAACACTATTAGTGTTACTAAAGATTAATACTTTAACTCAATTGTTCAAGTTGCTGCCAAAGCAAAACAGCCGTGTGCAACCACTGTCCACTATTGAATTAAGTAAATCCAACATGTTCTTTTTTTCAGTGTATATGGAGCCCATCAAG